GTCCCTTCCATTTGTGGGATGTGAAAAATATGTTCAAAAAAAATAGTTTTTGGAATTTCCCTGCCCCTGCAATCTGCTGGGGCAATTTCTTTTGCCCTCTTCTGAACAAAAAGGGCGTTCGTTTTGGCCCATTCACAACAGTACGAGGTTCACTTCTATTTTCAAAAGGTCGGTCATTCTAAAGTTGGCCATAAATTTGCAGGTTTCTGGAAATTAAGTGCGTTGATTCAGTCTTCTGATTCCATCCTGGCTTCAGGACCGTCTCCGACGGGCAGGCTGGGCCCCTTCCCGCTCCCAACTGCTGGGAAACTCCTCTCAACCGGTAGGCCTGGACTCTCTCTTCCAAAGCTGGATTTCTCTCCTCTCTGTTCATCCTTCTTCTGATGGAGCAATAAAGGGGTAAATAAAATTGTTCTTTATTGAAAAAAATTATTTATGAGGATGATAAAGATTGGGAAAAAAGAAAAAAAAAAAAATCTACCTCCCTTTCTTTCTACGGATTGGATGGCATCTGCTCCACATGTAGAACTTGTGGATTATTATAACGATTGCCACCACTAACTTTAGGAATGTGTGTGTTGCAGTTTTTCATTTTGCTGTCTAAAAGGCAAAAAAACAAAAAAAACCGTTTATTAGGCAAATCAATTAAACCACAACTCCAAAACTCTTCAAAACACAGAGATGGAATTCTGTTCTACAAAAAAAATTGCATAGTCTTTGTAGTTTAGGGGGGATTTGGCCAGCTTCAAAAAAGAACAACTACAGGTTGTTCAGGCGTTGGCGAATAATACACAACCAAGCACGCTTTATGCCTGAGGCAAGCGGCGAACGCAAACGAACCCGCGATTTTAGCATTGCCGAAAGAGGCAGGAAGTACAGTCAGAGAAAGCGCGCTACTTTATCCCTCGCATGAGAAACAATAATTGGCTAATAAGGCCAGGAGGAGGGCGCGGTGAAGCATAAGGGCCGTTTTACAACATGGACAAGGTTGGTGCCTCTAACCACTTTACATTAGATAGCGAAACAAGTTCAAGGAACCCTTGTTGCAGTACCTTGAGGAAAAAAATAGGCCAAGGCTCCTTTTCTCAATTCCCTTCTTCTTAAACCAATTTCAAAGAGATTGATTTGAGGTAGGGTTGTTCTTCCAGTGGCACATAGATTCTGTTGAAAAAAACTTGATGGTTTTTGGTAATGTTTCTTGCCTTGGGTTTGAGATCATTCCAAGGAATTCTTCTTCAAGTCCTTCCGTACTCATGGGATTCCAATAGATCTGAGAAATTTGGGCTTTCCAAACAACTTTATGATTTTAAAAATGCTTGGGGGTTCTTGTTTACCAAACTCTTTGTGGGCTATTTCCTCCACCAAGGACTTGGCGATTTTCTTCATTTGGGAGGTACACAAGGCAAAGTTGTGGACTTGGGCCTGAGTTATGCCTGAGGAGTTCATGAATTATCTTGGCCCCCTTTTTTGAAAGTTGCTAACTTGTTTTCTCAAGTTTTTAATTCCCACTTCCTTCTCAGTTGTGCTATGATAGTTGGAAAAAGAAAAAGCTTCCAGTAAGATTTGTCTTTTGGCGGCAGGGGGAGAGAGATAAAAGAGGGCCTCTGGAAGAAAATGGGGGGCTTGGGAACCTGGGAAAATAACTGAAATTTCTTCCATCCAAAAAGGGCAAATGCGAGCAAAAACGCAGTCCACTCTTTCTCTTGGGATTTGTTGTAACAAAAAATTGGGGATCTTTGTAGGTTGTTCCAACAGGTCTTTGTTGCAATAAAAAAAAAACATATCCCAAGGAAATTCAGTTGAGGGCAGTTCTTCTGGGTGACCGCTACTCCCAACTCCAGCCTTCAAACCCGCCACGTTTCAAAAGCAACACGCAGTATGCAGTCGTCTTGTAAAATGCTTTCCGAAAATGTCCAAAGAAACAAGTTGTTGGGCTTTGCGCAGGATTGAAAACAATTGAACTTGCTTTCTCCGGCTATATTCTCTGGATTTGCAAAAGAAAAAATCAATGGCATTTCATGGGGCTGGGTGGGAAAGACTTTGAAGGCCTGCTTCAAGAAATCCAACAACTGTCTATTAATTATTCTTTCTTCCAATCTCAGCTACCGAACCTACTGCTTTATTTTGATTTTTAAAGACTGTTTTTGCGGCAGCTTTTCTTGTTGGCTGTTAACTGGCCAGGGAAATTCTGGACTTACTGTGCGTCTTTGACGTGTAAAAGGTGGAGTATATCAGATGTTCAAGCAAGACCATCGACAAGTTCTTTAAAGGTATGTTGGTTGTTCATATCCAAGTTACAAATAAACTCCCATCATCAACTGGAAGATCTACCAAAGAGGGGCTGGCCTGATTATAAAAAGATTTACGGCCAAAAGTGTTTTTAAAAAAAAGAAAACTAAAAAGAACATTACTTTTTACTTCTCCTTCTTCCAAAAAAACTTAAAAGAAACTTCTTCTTCTTTTTTCTTCTACTTTCTTTCTTTTTCTTCTTCTTCTTCTTCTTTTTTCTGTGCGTGGAGGTTGTTGTGAAAGAGCAAGGGAGGATTTTTCAAACCTATTTAAAGTTTTTTCGTTCTCTTTTACTGAAGGTATTGTGATGAATCAATTGTTTGTTTATATTTATGTAATAGTTTAAAGTCAATTTAGTGTTTTTTGGTGTGTTTTTTGCGTGTCTCGGTGCGGAGGATGGCGTCCTCGAGAACCAGGGAGTGAAGGGCTGGTTTTGCCCACCCCAACAACAAAAGCTTCCACGCGTAGACAGGTGTTTTGCTGGCTGTGGGAGAAGCAGGATAGGCCACAAAGAAAAAAACATTCCTTTATGCTCCAGCTGAAATAAAAGCGGTCGTGGTGTTTTTTTGAATCAACCAAAAAAAAGAAAGAAAGGGAATCTTTTTTCCCGCAATCCCTGTAGGCGTGCTGTGATCCCTGTTTACCCAGGAGGGGGGATTTCTTTGACCATGTTAAAAAAGAACTGGGAGACTGTAAGCTTTTTTTATGTACAGATTATAAGGGATTTGCGAAGGGTTTTACTAAAAACAGACTAGGTTTATTATGTTTTAATTTATGTATATCAGTTCGTATTGTGTCCCTGGATAGATCCATACAGGGCAATTTGTTTTAATGAGGACATTTTTGTAAGTTTCAAACTTTACACATTAAATGTGTGGTATGCATTTCATTTGACCAGGAAGAGGGGCGGATCGAAATCGTGTGATTTCCACTCTTTTTTTTTTTGCCACAACTGGGCAGGTTTTGTGGTTGGAGCATTTTTGTCTGTTGTAAAGTTGTTGTTTAGTGCGTGTTATGTTTGTTGTAAAGGTTGGGGAGGTTGAGTAGAACCTTTGCTATCAGTAAAAAAAAGGAAGGGATTTCAGTTGCAGGGCTGCCCCATCTTCAGGCCAATTGTAAACGTTGTGGCCAATAAGCCGCTTTTTGTGTAGGGGCTAAGGGAAAGCCGACAACTGGAGAAGGCCTGTTTTTTTGGAAACTGGTTCAAAACAGTCCCCCCCGTGCGTCATATAGGCATATGCTGTGATGTTAATGGTCCTTGTTTCCAGGGGTGTCAGGAAAAGACATCCAGGAGTTATAAAAAGACGTCTTGTTTTATATGAGAAAAGGGGTGGGTTTCAAGCCAGGGTTTAAAAACTGGGAAGAAGGAAGAAGGTTGGGAGCCGTTTCAGGACTGCAGGCAAATCTCATGCGGCTGCTTTTTATAGGCTGTTTCTCTCTGCTGGTCTTGCTGCTGGCCCGGTTGGCTAACGCTCTGGAAGGGGCTGGGTGGTTCCGGTTTGAATAGGAAAACAACTCTTCCTTAATGAAAGTCCCTTTCGGTGCCCCCTTATTAACGGTTTACACCCTTTTTAGTCTGTTCATTGATGCCTGGGGAAGGACCGAGCCTTCACTGGACCACCTTGACCCCCGGGGGCTGGATGTGGCTTGTCTGAAGAAAACTCTGTCTAATAATGATTTCCTGTTTCTGATACCGTTCTTCTCTTCAGCCACCCTTAAAAAAGGTTCATTGGAGGGCAGGAGTAAGTGAAGCTGGGCCCATCTTAACGAGAAAAGACATTCAATTGAGGAGTCTGGCTGAAAAAGTTGGACGGGGCATTTTACGGTTCAAAAAACCAGAGTGGCTGCAAGGAAAAACCTGGGTGAATGGAGTGTGGCAATCCTCTGTTGGCAACCACTTCGGACTTTTGCGCAGAGGTTTGTTGAAGTCTGAGGTTGGGGGGAATGGAGGAGAGAGAGGAAGGCCTTTGTTTTAAACCCTAAAAAAAAAACTTTCCAGGCCCAACTGGGAACATTTCAGTCCTGTACAGTAAAACAAGCTTAACTCCAAAGCTGTGTGAAAGTACTGAATTTTCTCTTTCTTGCAGGAAGTTTCAGAAGAAGTTCAAAAAGTGGAACCGGAGGTTTTTAGGCTCAGACTTTTGTTCTCTTTTAATGGCAAAAGCTGGCGGGGTCCTTGTATAAAGCCTTTCCTGTCGAGGAAAACGGATGGGGCTGACATCCAGTGGAGATTATACATGGAGCGATTAGCTACGAAACAAAGACACAAGAGGGCTCAACTTTGACCCCACACTGGGGGGAGGGTTCCCTTTCTGGAATTCACTAACAGAAGACCCTCTTAAGACCACCCTTGAGTTGGTGTCCTGGGCCCCCGATTGGGAAAAAGATGTTTTTTAAAAAATTGCTGCCATGAAGTGGGTGGGGTGTTGGGAAAGAGGGTTTTCTCTGGTTCCCCCTCTTTGTCTTTGGACCAAAAATACAACACCCAAGTACGCTTGTCTGAGGGTTTATAGTGGGGCCCGTCTGAGGGTAGAACACACATATTTTAGACTAACCAACAACCTGGATGGTTTTTAAAAAAAAGGCTGGTGTGGGGCTGGTTTTTAGGGCAGGTCTTTTGCTCACTGGGGAAAGGATGGCTATTTGGGTTTTACA